ATATCGGTACACATAATGGCGCATAGTGTTGTGCCGGGACGTTATCGTTCGCTTTGGCTAATTACAGGAATACACGCAAGCGCACGAGATACAAGAGATAGTGCTGTACACACAAACATGGCGGCGATCTATAACTAACTCATGTAAATAAATGGCTGGAAAAGGGTTAACTTTTTCAAATATCCGACGCGTAAATAAAAATTAAAAGAGTATGAAATGTATTTTTCACAAAAAAAAAAATAGTTTCGTTTTTTAGGAATGAATTTTCGTAATAACATCAATCCGCCTAATTTATGATTTGGCTACTTATAAGATGTTTACCCACATGGTCAGATATCATCATGTGGTCTATAGCTGCCGCTAAGCATTTGGTTTAGGGAGGCTGTTCTACCACCAGACAGCGATATACAAATTATTATGTCTAATTTATGATTTGGCTACTTATAAGATGTTTACCCACATGATCAGATATCATCATGTGGTCTATAGCTGCCGCTAAGCATTTGGTTTAGTTAGGCTGTTCTACCACCAGACAGCGACATACAAATTATTATGTCTAAGTGATTCGTTAACCACTCAATACCAGGAGGCCAAGTGATGTTAATTACAATGATTTTTATTCAACAAATCAAAGCTATATCCGTGGTTTTAGTACCCTCTAAGTCGATAGAGAGCGCGTTGAAAGGCCCACCCTGAAATGTTCACTAATTTGTCTCAGTCATGTACTGGGTTCGAATATCGGAAATGGTAAAATGAAAATAAAACCGAAATCAATTAATTTAGTAGAAACCGGTCATCGTTCTCGTCGAACCCGTCGCTTGCGACGAAGGACTCGGCGAGTAAATTAACCCACAGACACAGCCCACAGAGTTTCTCGCCGGATCTTCCCAGTGGGTCGCGTTTCCGATGGTAGATTCTGCGAAGCACTGCTCTTGCTAGAGTTAGTGTTAGCAGCAGCGTCAGGTTTGAGCCCCGTATGCTCACCTACTAGTTCGGTGAATCTAGAATAGCCTCGAGGAGGTTAATAGAATGAGTAGGAAAAAAAAATCAAAAATGTAACAATTGGATTAACCATGAAAATATTTTGTAATAAAGATTAGGGATTGGAAAATGCACCAAAAAATAACATTAGTGAATCTGCTAGTAAGCCTTTGTGTAGCGAACCAGCTCCAGTAGATCTTTCTCGTGAAAGTAACCATCCATAAGACAATTTCCTTGATTTCGTATTATGAATGTATTGGGTGTATTTATCGTCTACATTGTTTCTACCACAGGGCGATCGTGCACTTAAAGAGTATTAAAACTATGCTTGTCTGGTCTCTATTTGCTTGTCTGCGTGTTGTTGATTTCGAAAAATTTTAAAAAGTATGAATAAAAAAATATATCAATGTTTTATTATCACTAAAGAAGATTGTGCCTTAATAAAATGCATAATAGCTGCTAAACACATATTACTAGAACCGTTTTCTTCTTGGCCTTAAAAACTTTGAGACGACCTTATGTTCAGCCGCGTGTGTCGCATTGAACGCAATTGTGTGGCTTCAAATATTTCTACATCTGCAAAGGGTTATAATGTGGGAAAATTAAGAAAATATTTAAAAAAAAAGTTTCTTTGTTGTGTGATAAGATATTATGTTTCAAGTAAAACATGTCTTCTTGTATAAAAAGTTCGAACAAACCGCAAATAAATTATCAGAAATCACTAGGGAAGCAGAAGGTTTCGCATATTAGTTACTTTAAATAGACAAATGAATCTCATAAGACAAAGCAGCAAAGTTGAAATAGAACAATTCTGATTTAATCAATAATAACATTGAAAGTCCTTCTCCGGGTTATGTTTAAAGAAAACAAGTTGACCCACTTAAACGGACCGAGACTCAAGTAGGGACTGGGGTTCATGTGTGCATAGTATCTATACTATTATTTCTAAGTCAACCTAGGCCAATGTTTGACCAAATCTGTTGGTGTTCCTTTCCCTTTAATCTTCCACCGCTGAGGTACTTGAATTTGTTAAACAAAGATGTCGAGGATCAGTTAGTGTAAGTCACTTAGCGTGCTATAGTTTATTTTGCAAAAGCTGTTTAAAAAAGTAAAAATAATCTTAATGGGTCATTGAAGCTTAAACGTTGACGTGTATTTAATTTTACAATACTTGCAGATATAGTTGTTGCCTATCGAAACATAATAAACAAGGTAAGAAGGTGTTAACTATGAATGTTACGCTCTGCCAGCACGCCAGGCTATAGAGGAAGAGGTAGACGTAAGAAGAAATGAATGGATTGCGTGAAAGACGATATGTGTAAGAAGGGAGTGAGCGAAGAAATGGTATATGATAAAAGAGTATGGAAGGAGAAAACAGTTGAGAAGAGTATGAAAGGAGAAAATATGTTGCGCCAACCCCAGGTGACTGGGAGAAGGGCAGAAGAATGATGAATAAATAATGTATTAATAGTGTAAAAATAAAATTCTGAATTCAGTAAATTTGCTTAACACGGGATCACAGTTAGTCGAACAAAATGAAACTTAACACCTCTACGAATATATAATAATATGATGTATAAATAAAAATACAAGATTTTTTTCATAATTACATACGTGTATTTTGACGGTAGTTTGGACAATATTCAGATTAACATCTTAGTCATCCGTGAGTGAGCACAAAAACTGTAAAGTATTAAAAAAATCGGGAATAATGAAATCAAAATAATAAACGAAAGATCAAACCGTAAATTAAGAAATCTTAACAAAATTAAATATTAAGAGAATAATGCTAAAAAGTTCAATGAGAATATTTTAATGTTATTCATCTAACATTAGTAACTGTTGTCATGAATTGGGCGGACGGTTATTGTATAATTTATTTGACAAAAAACTTAAACTTAAACTTTGTGAGTAATTTAAAATAGTATTTCGTAACGGTCTTCCAGTTTTCTTTAGGCTAGTTTAGCGCTACAAGTACAAAAAACTTAGGTATTTTGTTAAAAACTAAACGACCGCCGCACCTCGGTATAATACTACCATCATGTAATTTAATAACAATCCGTTCACGATGATGCATGATGGAAATAAACTTATACTTTTGTATTTGATGTTTCAATTTATTGAATTGAATAAAATAAGCGGAAGCTAAAAGACGAAACCAACAAATCACATTGTAATAATAGCTATAAAGTATCAAATAAAATTAAAATCTGTTTAGAAATCAGAGAAATTTCTTCTAAAATTTTTGTCGAACGCAATATTTGCATAATGACGTCAACGTTCAAAACAAACGTAAAAAGTAAATAACATCCAACTTAATTGCCCCTAAAAACTTTATTAGCCGATTTGTGTATATGATTTATTTAATACACGTATTACATTTAGTCGTACTAGGCCAAGGTTTCAATAAACACGGTATCATTGAACTACCCGACTCGCTTATATAGGTTTAGCTCGAAACCACTAACAACACTGCTTCGGTTTGTAAATCAATAGGTTAACAATGTTCTCGGTCGCTAACAAACGTTTGACAAATTATGATACGTATTCATATATGGTTGTTAAAACTGTGCATATTTTTTGCTAACAGTTTTTTTTATGTTTTTAATTTAGAGTGCATAATAAAGTTATAGTTTTTAATTTTATCCTTTGATTGTGTTTATGCCGCGACATTGTACCTTGACTTTAATCTTACGTTTCATGATGGGCAGCGGTATTGACGTTGAGGTTTTTATAGCCTTCATTAATCACTTAACACGTTGACTGAAGGTATACTTTTCAAGGACTTTCAGTCGGTGCGTATGAGGTCTTTTAGAAGCAACATTCGACTTCTTTACATTGCGTATGAGACCTGAAAGGTCTTATAAAGGTCGCTTTTTTATATGCCCATACCCATAAAAATTCGGACACAGTCGTCTTTTTTATTTTTTTTATTGCTTATATGTGTGGAAGAGCTCACAGCCCACCTGGTGTTAAGTGGTTACTGGAGCCCATAGACATTTACAACGTAAATACGCCACCCATCTTGAGATATAAGTTCTAAGCTCTCAAGTATACTCGTAGTTGCAACGGCTGCCTCACCCTTCAAACCGAAACGCATTACTGCTTCATGGCAGAAATAGGCAGGGTGGTGGTACCTACCCGCGCGGACTCACATGAGGTCCTACCACCAGTAATTACGCAAATTATAATTTTGCGGGTTTGATTTTTATTACACGCCTACCACACCGAGCGAAAGAATGCGGTTTTGACTGCAACACCAGGACACCAGTCGTGTGTGGGGATTCTTAAGCCGCGTAAGGCAACTAAGGTGTTAACAAGACGCCGGCTGCGAGTTACCGATTGCCCATATTAACTAACTAGCTGTACCCGTCTGCTTCGCTGGGCATTTAAAATTAACATTATTATTTCTCACCCCCACAAAAAATTTCATCATTAACGCCCCCGCAACTGGTGTAGGGAGTCCAACGCTCATATAAATATTAACCTATCCATTAAGTACATGTATTTTCTACATGGATACCAAGTTTCAAGGCAATTGGATGCATGGTTCAGTAGTCATAACGGAACATCCGTAAAAACCACTGTAGATTTATTAGTATAGATAACAAAAATATGTGTGGACTGTGTGGTCTCGTGGGACACCAGATAGGAACGAAGTTCCTTATTATAAATATATTAGTTTTCAGCTCTATTCGAGGTATAAAGAAAATAAAACTGGATTCGGTAACGTGCGAACTTATTGTGGTACACTTCATTTACGGTTGTTTGCATAAGAGTTAGTGTATTGCGCAAACGAACGCTCTGACATCGTGGTCAATGAATGATAAAAAAATATGTTATTTTTTGTACGTTATTACAAAGTTAAATCGTAAATTGTGTGCATTACTAATAAAATCTTATGTTACGGACGGTTTTTCCCCAGTTAGGTTAGGTACCCTTCCGCGTCATCGCATAAGGAACTTCGTTCCAAAAAGAGTAATACAAAAAATAATGCGAAGAATTTTTTGATGTTGCAGTTGCTGGTCGGCAGCAGCGGGGCGGGCACCGGCGGCGCGGCTACTTCGCCGGACGGAGGCTCAAGCTCAGCCCCGCCTCTGTCTCCTGGGGGATCTGGTGTGGCCGGTGGCGCTCTGTCACCGGGCGCCGGCAGCCACGCCAGCACGCCAGCCGCCTCCTGCTGCGACACGCCCCGCCCTATCATCACAGACCCTGTCTCCGGACAGACGGTCTGTTCCTGTCAATACGACGGGGCGAGACTCGCGCTCACCTCATACCCGAGGCTATCGAGTGCCGCAGTCGGTGTCTACGGCACGCCATATCCCTCCACCGATCAAAATCCGTATCCCAGCATAGGCGTCGACAGTTCAGCCTTTTACTCGCCTTTGGTAAGTACAAAGAGAAATTAAAAATTGAATTTGTTAAAAAACGATACAGTTGATTTCTTAGAGCTTTAAAAATCGGTTCTCGACGACAGCACGTTAGGTTCGGATAGCAGTATGAACGTTTGCGGGTAGGTACCAACGGATCGCTTGCCGTTTGCTCGTATAGAAGGCAAGGTTTATCGCTCTCGATACAACGAGTTTGGCTATTCTGGCGTGGCGTGCGAGCCAGAATCGAACCGGTCTTGGTGCGCTCAACCAGAAAACCACCGACACCTCGCAGACCTCGCCGCCGCCCTGTCACGAAACATTAATATTTAAACTCAAAAAAAAAAAAAAAAAACAGACCGCCATTATTATACCAATTACAATACATCGGCTTTTCTATACATGACTCGAGTATACTTTTCAAATCGTGCACAATTACCCGTTTAGTTCTTTTCTCTGGTCTTTGCAAATTATGATTGTTGTTAAATGCGTAATCATAAAACGAGACCCCAATTTGTAGTTATTTAAAGTAGCCAGTTGCGCTGTTCGTTTAACACCTTGTCTGTGCGTGGAGGATAAATGGGTGGCGGCTCCACGCGGCAGCGCTAATCCTTTTAAGGGACCAATACTTAGTCACCCAAGAAACCAATGTCTGAAAGTCACTGGATATTTGTCTATTGTTTTTAGAACCACATCGTAAATCTCAATGTAAATCCGTCTTTAAGCGTATCCAATTTTTATTTCTATTGAATAAATATGTTCATCGCTTGCCGAGCACACGTGGATCACACTAAGCCCAGAAAATCTTGTCAAAAAAAAAAATGCGTCGCTCACCGCGATTCCTTTCCGCAGCTTAAAACTGATGGATCTTTCAGCGTCTGATTTCCCATTTCATTGTATTCGTATTCACGAAAAATATTCGCAACTCTATACAATTGGTTATATGTCGACATAAGTATGTACTCAAATGATAAATCACAAATAACAGGCAACTACGTTGATTATTATCTGGCGTTGTTGAAAGAAATTGCAGTGTCGCGTTATGATGACCCTGTGTACATTTAATAACAGGTGTTTAAATGTATGTATACTGTCATTGCGAGGTCTGCACTCTCATACGTACCTACCTCACGACAAGCCAGGCCGGTTCCGTGCAAGCGACAATTTAGCGAACAATGACGACGCTCCACCACAAATACGCTCGCGTCTGATACTGAATATATAAGTCTTCACTTAAAACACATATGATTTTCGTTTTTAAACAGAAGCTGTAGAGTTGTAAATGCTTTAACCGTAACACGGCCCTCGCAAGGGAAAATATTCAACTGCCATTTTTGTACAGGCGCGACTCCGGTGGCGCCGTGTGTTCAGAGTTGAGTAGCTAACAATACGGCCAACGCCATCTTTTATCTATTGTAAAGCTCATAATAGATGATCAATAAAGGCTTTTCTTGGTGCGAGCACAGCTTAATGACGTCACTTGAACTTGTTTATTGCGTTTTAATGTCTTAATAGGTTGAGCACACATTAAGTGCTTTTTGACAAACAAAGGCAAGCTAAGTTCGCAGACTTTTGTGCGAAATACTTCTAGGCTTCTAACGCTTAAGTATTTCGTCAAGATAGTTCGATTTATTATTATTAAGTTAACGATCTCAACACAAATTGAACGTTTTAACATAAAAATGCTTTAAAAGTTAAATTAATAATTCTATCGGACCATTCAAAATAAGATATTATACACAGATAAATAAATACAAATTAATATTTCTATTTTACGATTCCGTATAAGACATAAATAATCAATACACGCTTTATTATAATTATCGTAAATATCTTCACGCGATCAAAAAAACAACATGTCAAACTCATCTTATTTACATTCGTGCTTCGAACGCGATAATGTTGAATATATTATTTAACGAACTCGTAACAATTAAGACCGCGAATGAGACTTGGAGTAGCAATAAAATCACTTGGCGGCATAATGCTGCATGTGTAGGTACAACAAGCACATGTTCCGTTACAAACGCTTCTCACTCGTTTATTGCAAACGGAAGCTTCGTATGAACCCGTAATATTGTAACCCAATGATAGACATATGAGTTCACGTTCGAAATAAGAACGACACGCTCAGACCGATTCGAAGCAGGACTCTCCCTAGCAAACGTTTACCATTAAAGACATCCAGTCGTTTTATCATCGCAGCCAAATTAAAGGCTCGATAAGAAAGTTGGAGAAGCGAACAAAAAAAAATAGGGAAAAAAAATACGAGAAAGTGCGCCGGCCGACTATAAAACGTAACAAAACGCCAATTTACATACATCAGTAATCTTAAGTCAAAGAGAATAAGTTTAGAAAAAGGAGACCAGACATTCAATTAAAGAGGGCGAGCGAGCGGGACAGAGCGTGCGCAGGAGCCGCGCGTTAAACAGAGACGAATAAAATAAATAAAAGTGAAGAAAATCAGGCGAATTGAGAATAGCCATTAAGGTGTTAATTAGGGTCTTATTAAGCCGTCTCCTCCCCGTGGGTGGTCCATCTGTAGTGCTCGCTTTGTTCATTAATCAATACGGATTAAGTTTTTGGCCCAAATTATCAAATCGGTCGATAGTGGTATATAACATAATAATATCGGGCAGTTCGATTGTTTGATGATGATGTTCATTTTAATTGTCATTGCTAAAGATGCATTAATCTGATTTGTACTAGGAACAACAGGAATCCCGGCATTCAGTCCGGGATATTTTATTGTTCTGTATGAGGAACATGTGCTCACTAATACTCAAGATAGGGATTTAACGGAGCGTTGTGGAAGTCGGCTGGGAAAATAATATGATTCTTCTTCTTCGGATGAATGACGGGAAGACACTTCTAGCAGCTCGTTCAGATTCGTTTACCTTATGATTTGAATTCAAAGATCTTCTTGTCTAAAACATCTAGATAATAGAAAGAAATTTCATAAGATGGGTGACAAAATTCACGTTGCTATTTTTATAGGATCCAGAAACTAGTTTACACCATTTGAGCCGTGGGTTCGTAAGGGGACGACCAAGAAAACGAAAATAATTAATTTAATAATTTATTATTAGTGAAAGCCATTTAAACAAACTGATACAAGCTGGAAGTTAAAATTTATGTACATATTTCTCTTTTAAGAAAATTAATTAATTGTAAAATAATATATACCTATTAGGGGATGACGACAAAGAGAAGATCTTCTACGGAGCGAAATTGCTCGGTAGACCGGTGTCCAAAGTTCATTGTAGGAAAGTGTTTGGAACCTGTATATATGCAAGCTTATCTTGAAAATGTCGTTAGCGAGATTCAGATATCTGTCAAATATGTGTTTAACTTTTTTTTTCCTACCTAATCTGGTAATCTAGGGGGCTATGCCAGCCTAACCGAACGAGTAGGTGAGCTCACGGGGCTCTAACCTGAGGACGTGTGTTCTTGTTATCTGTTGCATACATTATAATGATGACTTGAAACTGTTGGCTTAAGCCATGAGATTTCGAGGGTCAGACGGACTAAGAACAGCAGATGGGGCGTGAGCTCTTATCGCATATACCTACTCATTGAACAGAAGTTTGTGTGGACACAAAAATGTTTCTGTCAACGGATGTCACTCATAAGCTTTTAATTAAATCAAAATAATTAAATTAACACTAAAATAATACTCGCATGTTTCTTGTCATTTATATTCGAAAATATCGTATCTAAAAATTCATATTTTTCGAACTAAATACGTTATTCGATTTATTACTTGATACATAAAAATTTATTAACCATTCGAACGAATTAATAAACAACGGTCATATTTTATTTTAATGAACAGTGATTTGTTATTTTTAGTTTGACAGCGAACTCAAGCTATATATGTATATGTATCGACAGTGCTTGGTACTTTTCAAACCCGAATATGCGTCGGGTCGTGCCTCCGTGATGCTTCCGAACTCCCTCCGGTTTTAGGTATGTTTATATCATAAATATTACTGAAGACATCTATTGCCCCATTACTCTTTCGCCGATTAATTAGCCTCCGGTGACCTTGCTCTCTGATTAATGGCTACGTCTGTATTTATTTTTTATAATTATCTCTAGTGGGTATAACAGGGCATTTCATTCGAATACAAATTTAACATTGAAACTAAACGCGATTGGTTTTTAATAAAATACCAAACTAAATCGACGGAGACACGCTCGTAGACTTTACAGAAAGTAGATAATGTTATCTTCAGATTGCGTACGAAGTTTGATAAAGGATTCGCGCTATAGTATTTTGGTGCAACGTTTTAACAAACAAAAAAATCTATTGTAATTTCATTTGCTACGCTCAAAGAGAAATAGTTAATTTTATGTGCCTGGATAATCTTAATGCTTACTTTCAACTAGTTAGGGTTACAGTTACAAGTTACTTCGTTGAAAAGCAAAGGAAATAACGAACTTTTTTTTGTAATATTCGTTGCGTATGCATACATCAAATAACGTCGAAGCGCGATAAATTGACATGTGTTTTTATTAGTCGCGATAGTGCGAGCGCGTCGTTGTGAGTGTCACGGTATACATTATATTAGCCGCCATTGCTTTAATGATGCAATGGAGTCGGTGAAACGTGGGTGGGCTTATCAATAGGTACATCGGAGATTTGACATAAATGCGTTATACTTAGATTACCAATGTGACAACCGATAAAATGTTGTAAAGCGCCGCCTCGCAGTGATTGACACGGCTCATGTTTACACACTGATATCCTGACGTAGGTACACCTTCTGTATCGGCCGCCTTATCTAGCGAACACATAAGTGCTTCATCGATACCGTACGAACGAAAGATGTCGGCCGATCCGTCCAGTTTATATACAACATCGCTGTCTGCAGATAAAACTGATTTTTTTTCCCCCTACCCAAGCTGATGGTCTTGAGAGACCATATCAGCGTCACCAGGCCAGTAGGTGAACTCACGGGGCTCAAACTTGAAGTTGTTGCTAACACGAACCCTAGCAAGAGTCGTGCTTCACA